CACAAGTAAAATGCAATAGTTTTATCTAATTTTGCAAATCTTGCCCTAGATTACTTGGTTAAAAATCCTATATTTTATCACGTTAAAATACTGGTGAGATACAATGTTCTTACCATTTTCTTACTATTTTGTTATCACAAGTAAAATGCAATAGTTTTATCTAATTTTGCAAATCTTGCCCTAGATTACTTGGTTAAAAATCCTATATTTTATCACGTTAAAATACTGGTGAGATTCACTGTTCTTACTATTTTCTCACTATTTTGTTATCACAAGTAAAATGCAATAGTTTTATCTAATTTTGCAAATCTTGCTCTAGATCTAACTGTAACAGAATATTTGGTTATTCAATCTTGTTATCGTCGTCACTCGACTAAAGGAATAAAATATGAAACTTCACATGACTCATGTGTAAAGAAATTGCGCAATGTTCTCCTGCCTCGCATTACATATATACAATTCCCACTTGTAGCGTCGTCTATCGGATACTTTCAAAACTGCTCCACATGTGAGCACATAAGATGGACATGTTAACATAAAACGCATATACAATATACATACAAGTTATTAGAGCCGTAATTTGTGGTGGGCTGACAGAGGTGACCGCTCATCTCAAGCTCCCAAGAAGGCCCGAAATGGCAGTTTCTCTGAGACATTATAGACAGGGAGGATAAACACATACACACAAGTTATATTATAGTGTAGCTCCCTTCCCCCCAGCTGACTTGGAGCGGCTTTGCGATGTCAGTCTTCTTTGTCCCTCCCCCCCAAACCTTCTGTGAAATGATCCACCTACAAATTATATGACATTTAGTTTGAAATAGAGTGATCGCATGGTACAGTTTAGGTGGGACAGTCCAGTAAGCGTCTTGGTATTTCGACAATTGTCCAACATGCTCTGGGATTTCTTGTATCTAAATCAAAAAGCATTACGTCATCATAAACAGTCAGTTAGGCCTATGATCATATTTAAGCCTAGTAATATAAATATAAGTAAAGAATAAAACAAAAGGCACAGCGGAATGGATGCTATTGTAAAAGCACGTTCACTTACCTTTTTATATTTTGTAGCGTAAAAATTAGAGTAATGGGCCAGTTGATGTTTTAATTTAGGAAGGGGGAATTGTATTGATGATTGGAAATTATATGATTGGCCAAGTAGATCAAAAGTGCGTGTATATCATAGTAACATGTGATTACTTGGATTTAGTTAGGAAAATACTTGTAAAAGTTTATATTTTCTGTAATAATAAGTTTTTTAGGTATAATTTGGCACCCAAATTTTTTGTGTTGCTCTGGTTCGCACCTATAAAAAAGTATATCGCTTACAGTGCACAAAAGTGTGACTATTCCAATTAAAATGTCTTGAAATATGAAATGTGGACCAATTCACCAAGACAATAAACTTGCAATTTTCACATACAACGTTGAGCTCAACGGTGGAGTGGTTGGTAGTCCCTCTGAGTATCACTGGCGCTTATTAATTTCTTATACGAAAAAAAAAGTCTATGCATTCATGAGGCTCAAATATCACTGAACTTCAGTGAAGTCATTAGGAGTCAACCGCGTGTCTCTCCTAGCATGGCGATGAATATATCATTTACATTCGCTCAAAGAATAATTTGTGTCAGTGTTTTTATCTTAACAGGAAGTACTGATGATAAAGCGCTGTTATATTGGACAGGAAGGCACGCAGATGAGTAACAAATGGTTGTTCAGGTTTCGTTTTCTACGATGACGTCATTTGCCTTGTTTCGTGTCTTTTATTTTGGCTTAACGGTAATTTGCTCTCAGCTTACAAGAATACGAGTATACTATACGAAAATCGACAAAGAAAGAGTGTAGAAAAAGACATTTAATTAACTGCCGACAAACGTAAATCCAATTAAGCAGAAATGCCATACAAACACTGTCCGCTATAGGCACTCATTTCATACATTAATTTAAGGAATTGGGAATTTAAACCAGAACGCACTTAAGATTCACATATAACTGGCCTTAATTTTGAACTACTCACAGCAGGAACCGCTGTCACAAAGGCTTTGTACGAATAACAACATTGACTGTCACTGTAACAAAGCGCCCACAAGTAAAAGTTCGGAGCATGCGCAGAGGCATTACGTTTCGAACCTTGGACCCTTTGATACCGTGTCTGTCACGCTAACCACAAAGCTGTGCCCAACCCCATGAGTTCAGCTATTTGTGATATGGTTAATCCAACTATTTCCTAAAAAAGTAGCATTTAAATATTGCAATATGAGTTAGTGTTTAATACTTTTAATGAACGCCAAAAGAAACATGGAAAATATTACCTAACCAAATTTAGTAATTATAACAAGAAAAACAATCAAGAACATTATAACTAGATTAATACACGAAATAAATATACATATCAGGGCCAAAATACAATATCATTTGGCTAGCTAGATGATTTAAGATATGTAATATTGAAAAAAAAGGAATAATTTTTGCAATATGATCTCCCTCGGAGCAGACGTCAGTGAATTTTGACGACCGTGACCTCTGCCGGTTGAAGCATGTACTAAAAAAGTGATTTGTGATAAGATAGTTGTTATTTTTGAAATCTACAACGCTCTAAGTACATTAACATACCCATAACATATAGATCAGCGTCTTGCCTCTCTTACAATATATTTTATACTCCCACACATTAAATATTTATTTACTTCATTATATCAAATGTTTAGCATTGAAAATCGAAACTAAAAACAAATTCTCTCTCATACCCATGTATCGAAACATTTACTGAAATATTGTCACTCACACTAAATATTTATTGAGATGAACATCATAACATTTCACATGCTGACTAGTAGGCCACGCCCAGTGAAATATGGGCGATTCTAGTATGTTTGTTAATATTTTTATTTGTAAATGTTTATTAAGAGGTAAACCAATAACATTTTATCCCAGCATGTGAAATATACTTATCGAGATTTATTTGATAATTTGTCACCCGTTCAGGTCAAGTTTTTTCTCAAAACCTTTTTGACAAGCAGTTCTTATACAGTACTCCTGAAGGACCACCAGAGGAAGATGATAGTTATTTAGGTAAGACAGATAAATACTTTAACAATTAAATAAATTATCCATTAGTTACTTGATGACGTCAATCTTTTGGTTTCGGCTTTTAAAATATTGGACAAAACGTGAAAAAAAAAATTCGAATGAGCAAGCAAGGTTAGAACACGCATCTAAATTAAAACTTGGATTTGGCAACATTTCGGACTGAAGATCTTCCGATAGATCAGCGGCAAGTTTACGGATTTACAACGATAAAATCCGGGTTTCGATTCCCCGCGGTGGACAGTAACATTAACACCAAGCATTACTGGGCACAGTGAGACCTCAAGCAGAATGACTGCTTGTAACGTTGATAAATAACAGTATTCTTAGTGTTACTTGGACTCTTCATGCGGCTTCTTGTAACTAATACTCCTTCATGTTATTAAACCACAATAAAATACTCTTGTCTAATAATTCTTCTGCTCATTAAACCACGATAAAATATTGTTGTCCAATAATTCTTCACCTCATTAAACCACGAAAACGTTTTGGTGTCTAATAATTACTTATCTCACTAAACCACAATAAAGTATTCTTGTCTATTAATTATTCGCCTCATTAAACGACGATAAAGTAGTTTTGTCTAATAATTAATTCTTCACCTCATTAAGTCTCGATAACGTACTGTTGTCTAATAATTCCTCACCTCATTAAACAACAATAAAGTATTGTTGTTTGATAATTCTTCATCTCAATAAACCGCAAGTATTGTTGTTTTTGTTTTCTCCGAAATAAATATATTTAAACCTATGAAAATTTATTACTTCTCTCAGAACATTTCTTAACATTTTCTAATGTCAGTAGTTAACAAGTTGATTTCAAAAATAAATTATGACTGATTCTGATTGAAAAGAAGAAAATCATAAAAGTATTTTGTAAATTGTCCTATTCTTACCTTAGTGCGAGTAGCTGCGGTAATAACCAAGCACTGTTAATATTTTTAAACTACCAGTTTTCTTGAACTTTTCTAGGTTTCTCTACCGCCGTTGGAGAGTTCACTGGAGACAATATCGTGGACTTAGCCATAGGCATGCCACGTGGCTATAAATTAAAAGGAAAGGTAAGAAACGAGTATAAGAATGATAGGCTCTTGAAGTTCCCAATAACTGATACATTAGAATTAGCACATGTCACTTGGTAAAGTAATGACCTCCATTAAAGATATTATCAACTACTAAGCGTTAGTAATCAAACGTTGAATAGGTAAATGAGAGCTAGTAGGAAAGATAGTTATAATATTAACTAAATTGTAAGTTAAGAATAGATAATAATAGTAAAATTATTTATTGTGCTTGTCCGATGCTAAAGAATAAAAATGGAAAGTAGGAACTGGTAAGAGTATTCGCATACTTAACTAGACATGTTTAGCAGTCAAAAGTTAAAATAGTAGGAAAGAAGCAGGAGGAAGAATAAACGTCTTTACCAAGCAGACCTAGTGGCCAGAATCTAAATTAATAAGCGAAAACTGGTAAGTAAAAATTTGTTAGAATAATCACATTATCTACTGGACTTGTGTAATGGTCAGAAGACAAATTCTTACTTTCCACTTTATTAGAAGAATAACATTATCTACTGGACGTGTGTAATGGTCAGAAGGTAAAGTGGAAAGTAAGAATTTGTTAGAAGAATAACATTATCTACTGGACTTGTGTAATGGTCAGAAGGTAAAGTGGAAAGTAAGCATTTCTTAGAAGTATAACATTATCTACTGGACTTGTGTAATGGTCAGAAGGTAAAGTGGAAAGTAAGAATTTGTTAGAAGTATAACATTATCTACTGGACGTGTGTAATGGTCAGAAGGTAAAGTGGAAAGTAAGAATTTGTTAGAAGTATAACGCTCTTTATCAAATATTTAGCATTCAGAAGCTAAAAAGCCAAATGAAAACTGATCGAAAACAATATACTTTGTTATCTATGTTTCAGAGTTCAGGAGATAAAATGATAGTAAAAATTGGGATAGAAATTCTGTTTAATGTTTTTGCTATGTAATAGGACTTAAAACAGAAATTATAACTCTCTAGTCCAATTAAAATACAGTAGTAAAACCGTTAAAATATACGTACTTTCCATAAATATATCTAGAAGTTGGCAAAGTTAAACGTACTTCGTGAATTCTTCAAGTCTTGAAAAGAACAAATGATACAACGATCTCTTCTGACATGCATTCGATTAAATCATGATGAAATAGTGCATTTTATATCTTTCAGTTTTTTACATGCAATTGTGTTGTTCTTTAAAAAAATAAAAGAGTTTATAAATATTGTTAGTATCTTATTTTCATACTAGGTGGTGTTCTTAACGACATTTTTAAGGAACTTACTGAACCTCACGGGAGACCAACTTGGATCTTATTTTGGCTACGCTATCTGTGTAGCTGACGTCAATGGCGATCGGTAGCTAGAATGTTTTATTTTTCTACAAGTCGAAAATATAAATTAAAAGAAACAGAGTAATTTCCTACTTTCGTAACCTCGAATTTTAACATTTCCATTTATTATACTCGTTTTGTTTGTGTGAGTTGTATTTATTTCTCATTTTGTTTTTTTAAGCACTAAATAAGTCTAACATTACGTAAGTAACTTCCCGAGTGTTGTTAATTTACATTACAACCTAAATTTCATATAAAATATTTTTTCATGATCCATAAAGGTAGTAGTAGTACTGACTATTCAATGAAATTTAGTATGGAAATACTGTAAGATTTAATATGAAAAGTAATTAGCATTAATATTAATAGGGCTTTTTTATTGTTGTACAGTTTAGACGATGTTATGGTGGGGGCGCCACTATACGCTAACTTTGATTCTGAAAACAGTTACGAAGAAGGACGTGTGTACATTTTCTACCAAAATTCAGAGGTTCGTTGGAAGTGTGCTTGCAAATACTCACATGTGAAAAAAAAATTAACCCACATTATAAGTTACAGATTCATTTATATAAAAACTACAATCAACTGAGCTTAAGAGTCAGCATAAAATGTTTTCCACTAACTGCTAAGTCGGATTCTTGTCCAGTCATTCATTTTAACATACTTTTCTCATAAGCTTTATCAGATGATAGAGTCAAAAATAACTTTTATTTTCGTTATTGAATCTTTGAATGATAAGATTTTGAATGATGGGAAGGATCCTTGGAGTCATGAAATGTATCAGCTATTGAAATATCATTGCATTATTTTTCTGACATCATTAAGTTTTTGATTTTGGATCGTATTATTTTATCTTAAATTTCTAAGATTTTAACGTTAACGTTACAGCATCAGATGGTAAACAAGAGTTATTTGGATGGCACCTACTCCAGAGGTCGGTTTGGGCAGGCTTTAACATCACTAGGAGATATAAATAAAGATGGATTTCAAGGTAAGTTTTACTTAAATCATTTCAAAAGTCTCTTTTGAGCATAAACAGAGCGATGTCGGAACAAACAAAAAATTCAATTATTCTAATTTCGGTTTTAGACTTTGCTGTAGGAGCACCCTACGCTGGAAATAAAGAACGAGGAGTGGTTTACATCTATCATGGAAGTCGAGGTATAATGAAGTCGACAAAACCTTCACAGGTAACTATGAAAAGCAACTTCACAACTTAGGCACCCCTGTAATTTTTCTCGCAGTTTTGTCACTAGTTTTATTTTAATATTCAAAAGTCAGACCACCGGCTTTACTAGTACCCTAAGATACTTTAAAACATTTACTTATTTATATGACAAAAATTGCTAAAATTTGAAGAATAAAGCTCTTTCATTTGTTATTTTAACGAGATATTGTTCTAATACAGCCTGTTTTTGTTAGTTACAAACACTGATATAATAATAGACTGAGACAAAGTTATAAATAAGTTATTTTGGTAGGTTATAACAGCTGAAAGCGTTGGTGATCCTGGATTATCAACATTTGGTTTTTCCCTTTCTGGAGGTATGGACATGGACGAAAATAGTTACCCTGGTGAGTTCACATATCCGTTCTTTTAAATTCTAGCAAAGACTCAGTATTTTGTACAAAACTTGTAGTTTAACACTGAATAGTAAAATGAAAACTATCCCCCCCCCTTTCTGTTTATTTCAACAGTTGGTGAATAAAGAGTAATTAAAATGATTTATTTTGTACATTCTTAACCTTCGATTTATCAATCAGGGTAAGGTCATATTGATTGGAACTTTTTCCTTCTGTAGGATTTACTAGACATCTATTTTTAAAACAAATTTCGAGAGAAAAAAATTTATCTCTTTTATGCCAATTTATTTGTAATAGTTGTCGAGGTTCTTATTTTTTGAATGACAGAAAAGTGCATTGGTATGCTTATAAAAAGTACATATTTAATTACTGGGTTGTTTTAATTTTTCACAGATCTACTCGTTGGAGCCTACGACTCAAATCGAGCGATATTTTTCAGGTACAATTCTGAAATGTTTTTTTTTTATTGTATATTTTTTGCAACCCAAACAAGATACCAACAACAGTAAATGATTTGAATAATTGTCGTCCTGATTGGGCATAAGCAACGCTTGTCTTCATAAAATATAATTAAAAGAACACTTTGCATCTAAGGATACACAACGTTTCACGTTTTATTCTTTCTTGTAATGCTCAAAATTTTCATTAATATGTATTGAACGTTATCTCTGTTATAGAAGTACTGTATCTATTTGTTTTTGCTTCTCAGGTCCCGACCGGTGGTTAACTTGTTCGCCAATTTAGAGATTGATCCTAACACTATCAACTTAGATGAAAAGGGTTGCAGCCTTTCTGATAGAACGGAAGTATCCTGGTACGTATGTTTCTTTTGGTAACACAGATGTATAAAAGCTTCTTTTGGTTTTATGTATAGTGGCTACCCAGTGATTTTGGCATAATTAACTACATTGAATATGATTGATTTATTGATCACTTGGCCCTGCATGGCCAGGTGGTTAGGGTGCTCGACTCGCAATCTGCAGATCGCGGGTTCGAATCCCGTCCCACCAAACATGCTCGCCCTTTTAACTGTGTGGGCATTATAACGTGTAGGTCAGTCCCACTATTTGTTGGTAAAAGAGTAGCCCAAGAATTGGCTAAATTAGGGACGGCTAATATAGATATCCCTCGTATAGCTTTGCGCGAAATTCAAAACAAACCAACAATTGATCACTAACATGCAAAACTAGAACTTTTCACGTGTAAAAATAACAATATTTAATTTTTGTTTATAAAATGTCATTTTTGATATTTAAGTCCACCAGAGATCTATATATATATATATATTTATTTATTTATACGGTAAATATTTTTCTATCCGTTTATCATTTATATTTTAGCATATATTATGTACTATTCAAGGACTATAACCAAATAAAGGTTGACGAGCCTGCTTACCTGGACTAAACGTCTTCTTTTAAACAAGAAAATGCTGGTTCCTTTAATTATCGCCAGGGAAAGTATAATCCCATATTGAATCTTCTGCATAGTTTAGAGGTTCCAAAGACCACCGTTACTCTGAATTTCAAGAGCTGCAGGTTGTAGTAGATTGAAATACAACACTATTCACTCTGATATAAATGCCCCTAAGTGGCACAGCAGTACGTGTGCAGACTTACAACGCTAGAAACCGGGTTTCAATACCCGTGTTGGGCAGAAAACAGATAGCTCACTGTGTAGCTTTGTGCTTAACTTCAAACAAATATACTGATATAAATATATCTCTTACAAGAGGTTTTAATGAAATAAAATTATTTCTTACCTTTTGTCTATTGTTACCGACATTCTACTTGAGTTTACCTTAGTTCTTTAGGAAAGTATTGTTTTAAAAACTATACTTTATCTTTATCACAAATTTTGTTTATTTTTTTTGCAGCGTAGTGATTACGGTTTGTCTTCAGTATAGTGGAATAGGAGTGCCTTCTTATCTACGTAAGTATTTTCTAATCATGTGACATGATCTTGTATATATTAATTAAAAATGGTTATGAAATAAAAAACAGTTAAAATAGTTCCTTAGCAAACAAAATTTGTGTTTTGGGAGAATTTTAACAATAAACGGTTCTTTGATGCATCTTTTATAACCTGCAGCTGCCTGGAAAGTTTAGGTGAAGAAAGGTTTTCAGGTATTGTTTCACCTGAACTCAATATATATATATAACAAGATTGTTACCACCTTTAACATCTGCTTGGAAAGGTCAAGTGAAGGACAGATTTCAGGTGGTGTACCACCATCTATAACATCACAAAGCAGACAAAATGGTTAAGATTGTTTGTTCTGATGGTCATATTTAAAGGATGCCACATATTTAATAACACCATGGTCTAAAACTTCTATAAAGGTAGTTGTTCCTATGTTTACTAATTCAATCCATATCCTTCTTAGCAACAAATCGAAGTGTTAGGATAACTTATTATGCTAATGAAAACCGAACTTTATGGTTGGATATCCATGTTGATCAGAAACTATTAATATTGGAAGTGTTTATAGTGTCAAGAAGATGCTTTTTGGAAGTTCCAAAAGACAAATATATGAAACTAAAAGATATTGTTTGGATAGTGTGAACAATTGGTCAACATATGTACTTAATTGTACGTATAACATATAGTGGGATTCGATAAATTAAAAAAGTAAAATTTTATAAAAAGAGGGTAAACCTGTTTTAGACACTATCATAACATAACAACTGTGTTTGAGTGAAACTTGGCAACGTAAAATTATTGACTGTCATAATTTCAATGCAACAAAAGTGTTTTGATCATTCACACTCACAATCTGTTAGTCTGCATTTAGGAACTACCTTGATCATGTACCTCGACAATAGATCCAACATGATACTTAGTGTAGTGATAATACCTTTTTTTTCAATGCACTTTATCTGAATGAATAATGTGCACTAAATTGCCAAAGTAGTGGAAAGGCACATCTCAACTATTAATGGACCCTTTTATATTAGATTTGAAACTCATGTTGCACTGTGTTGAACTTGTATAGGACAGCAGATGTCACAGACTGCTAGTTGGATTTAAGGTGACAAGAAGAATGGAGCTCAGTGAACTTCATAGAGGGCTGGCTATTGGATGAACATTTGTAGTATGAATGTCCAAGGAATTTCATCCCAACTACTCATTACACATCCGTTGTGGGTAATATGCTGAAGAAACGGAAGAACACTGGACGAGTTGTTATTGCATACTTGTCAGACTGCCCAAAACTAAGCTCTCCTCAATTAGATGCAAACTTCGAATCGTGTTGTGAAACAAAGTTCCTTATCTGAATTTAATGAGTGTCCAGGACTGTGTATGTAGACCGCCATGCTGACACATTTCACGCACGATCTACAGCCCATCAGCTGCTCATTATAGCCGTGAATATATGGGGATGGCTTTCTTTCTAGATGTCTTGAGCATTGAAATTAGGGTAAAAGGTACTGAAAGACAAATATTATGTAGTAATAAATCATACTTCTTATTATTCAATTCGGATTTGAGGCCTGACGAGAGCATGAAAACTACTTTGAATATGTCTCCGTCTTTATAGCCATGAAATATTAGGGTGAGCAGCATCACGGTGTTGTCCTGGTTTTGCTACTTTCGGCTTAATCTGTTGGTAATAGTTATACTATGAATGCTTTGTCGTATTACCTACAATAGTCTGGACAATATTGCACTTTTGGCATTGTATAAACACTGTGTTAAACAACTATACCTCTTTCAACATACTAATGCACTATTCTAAACCAGCAATGTACAAGACAAAAACCTAAACGCTCCAGATTCTGCCTTGGCCAGCCCAGATCCCCGATCCTGGAAATTTTGGACAGATTCCAAAATCTCATTACACTTGAAGATAATGTATAAGAGGAAAAGGTAGTATATTTCAACAGATGCGTATCAATGATTGGTAGAAAATATAGCAAAATAGCTCAAGATAAGGTTAACGCCAATGAACGGCCCTCTCACTATTAAAATGAGCCTCAGCCGAAATAAGTAAAATAGTGTACATTTCATGTTATGAAAAGCTAATGATAAAATTGACTGTGGCAATAAGTGTTATCAAGGTGAATTTCCACTTACGTTCATTTTCTATTTTCAGGAATTAAGCTTAAAACCCAACTGGATGTCGATTTACAGCAAAACCCACGAGTGTTTTTTTTGGAAAGAGAAAAGATCAACCGAAACGTTTATGATATTTTCATCAGGAAAGAATCGAAATCCTGTAAGAATGTATATGCGTACATTGAGGTCAGCAAATCCACAATTTATTTAATATTGTATTTTTCATCAACCTAAATAGTGAGTTTAATTTTTTATTGTATCTTGATCTCCGCGTATCTTAATATTGCAGTAACAGTTGAAAATTTTGTTAAACATTCCAAAATGAGAGACGACAAAAATATTTTAAGCATTTCGGAAGAGTTTATGAAAAAAAAACTCGCAAATTTTAATACTTTGTAATAATAATATATCAATAACTAATTATTTTGCTAAAACTCGATTAAATCACTCAATTATGTATATTTTCTGAAAACTCCTTAATTGTACAAAGGGCGCTAAATAGAGTTTTTAAAATACTCATTTGGAAAGAGTCATCAAAAGTTTTAGGTGTGATAAGAAACTGTTTTGGGCGCTGAAAAAGTCACCCCTTCCCAATTCTATGTGTGGGGATTGATTTATTCTACGCCTATAAATTGGATGTGGATTAAAACGAGAACACCCCAAGTAAAACTAGACATCGGGCACATACCAGCAAATTGCTCCGAAACCTAGAGATTAGTATGTTAGCCTCACCTAGATAGACTTGGATCTATGTGGTTGCGACAGAAAACATCAGATCGATGCCATATACAAATACGTTATGATTTTGTTTTTAGTTCTAAGTCTAAATCTAGTGCTTGGATTGCGTAGCTCCGAAGAACTATACACTAACAGAAAGCCGCGTTTCTGTTTTAGCAATGATACTAGACATAAATAATTGTTATAGGGCTTAGATATCCTACTTACAAGTCTCTATCAATATTGCTAAGATAGGCCTTCTGATGAGATTAGGACACCCGCATTGTTTTATTCCTACTCAGGTTAGACGTAGGTACAGTATAAGGAAAACGATAATAATATTATAAATATATATATATGCTTATAGAGATTTTGATAGATTGAGACGCGACGTGCATAAATTGCTGGTTAATTATGTTAAAGAGCAAGATATAAGTGTGGTTTCAGCTTGTATAGCCCCATCTGTCTTTATTGTTGTTCTAGTTTTAGCGCAAAGCTACACATTGGACTATATATGCACTCCGTCCACTGCAGGGAATCGAAACCCGAATTTTATCATTGTAAATCCGCAAACTTTCCGCTGACCCACCGGTGTGCGTTGACTTTGATAAGCAGTATTTGCCAAGGTAGACTATTTAACACGACACTGGCCTATAAACTGCATTGACTTAATGTATGTGCACAGCGCGGATTCGAAACGTGGTCGGACAACGGCTTGTTTGCCAACTTAGTAGAAGATAGCCAAATGATATACAAGTTAATAGACAATATAAACAAAAGAAATCCTGCATTTGCGATGATTTCGGGCCGCAAAATCATAAATTTATGGCAAGAGAATACGAAACTTTGATTTACCTTCAAATATACTCCCCTTTATACTGACCAAAAATGACAATGTTGTTTTAATTTAGATGTCTGAGACGATAGCCGTCATACTTTTCTTAAGAAAGAAAAAACAACAACAAAAAACACTAGATACAATTGTAATCAAATCTAGGAAAACCTAGATTTTCCTATATTTTATTACCATTATATATATATAGTGTTTTCTTTTCTTTTCTTTCTTTCTTGCCCCCCAGTGCACAGCGGTATGTCTGTGGACTTACAACACTAGAAACTGGGTTTAGATACCCGTAGTGGGCGGAGCACGGATAGCCCATTGTGTAACTTTGTGCTTAACTTCAAAACAAACAAACTTTCTTTCTTAAACTTTGTCTTGCATCTTCTGTGTGGTTTCATTATATATATATATTGTCGTGACCGGTCCGAGATACTGTTATCGTCATTCTTTTACATGTGTCAGGTTCTCCTACAGCAATTATGTTCAGTACTATTAAATTGGTCCTTTCACATATCCAGTAGTAATCTTCTCAAGCAGTCTATACACTGCTGGCCTGGCATGGTCAGGTGGTTAGGGCGCTTGACTCGCAATCTGAGGGTTGCGGTTTCGAATCCTCGTTCCACCAAACACGCTCGCCCATTCAGCCGTGAGGGCATTATAATGCGAGGGTCAATCCCACTATTCGTTGTTGAAAGAGTATCCCAAGAGTTGGCGGTGGATGGTGATGACTAGATGCCTTCAATCTAGCCTTTTATTGCTAAATTATGGACGGCTAGCGCAGATAGCCCTCGTGTAGGTTTGTTCGAAATTCAAAACAAGCCAAATTCTTCTATGTAAATTTGACATTTATTTTAACTCGTGTATCGATTTTGCACGTAACCAACTCAGTGGAGATCTTAAAAAATACAGAAAATGGGACAGAAAAAAATGCATCAAATAAAAACAAAGTTTCGCCACTGTTAATATGGCACCATCATATTCGTAGCACAACTAAATACGACAATTAAATGCACGTCACAAACATAACCTTGAGCTTAACATAAGTATAAATCTACACCTTGTGTTTTATTTATTATAGGTTTGTACTCCGTTATTAAAATAGCTTTTTTTATTTTAAGTTTATAAACATTAGGTTTTCGACAAATAATTTTAACAGTTTCATTTTCACTACAGTGTTCTGTATCTTTAAAATGTTGATAGACATGTGATGGAGCATATTCGTGTTCCGCTATTCTAGTAAATTCCTACCAGTCTCCCCTATATATAGAATATTACAGCCCATACATTCTACACTGTAGACTACTCCTTTTTTTACCTACAATTGGAAGTTTTTACATCCTTTCCAGTTCTTTCCACAGTCTTTTTATCGTATTTGATTTGCCAGGTACATAAGGATTTTTACAATAAACCAAATCACTTGAATGAATTGTATGTTTATTTTTTCAATCAACCCATCAGTTGTTAAGCATTTTCGAACCACACTAATAGGATAATCATACCTTTTCACCAATAAGTTTTCCAAATAAGTTACTTCATTATCCAACTCTTCTTTTGAATTGCAATTAATTTTTGCTATAGACAATAAAGATTTTATGATCCCTATTTTTTGAAACTTCTGATGAGCTGATGACCAATTCAAGTAATGACCAGTATGTGTTCCTTTGTTGTGTTTAGATGATGATGCGTTAACAGTGACGTAACGTTGTTTTTATTTGATATGTTTTTTTTTTCTATCCCATTTTAGTTGGCATCTGAATTATTAAAAGTTTGTAGTGTGTGGGATGGATACCTTCAGTGGAGATATGCGTGTCTTATTAGTGTAAATGTATTATCCAAAAAACAAAACAAAAGAAACTTGGTTGTGGAAAACGTGTAAAGTTGGATACATATATATTTATAGTAGTAACCCAACTTCTAAGGAAGTATTCATTCTGGAAATAAAATTTCCTTTTGTTTCCAAATGTTGTTTTTTTATGTCTGTGAAATTCTGTAGCGAATTGAAAGCATTGTTTTTGTTCTTTAGATAAAAACGCATGTTTGAAATGTATAACCATGAAAATGAGAAGAAAATGGAAACACTGGAATTGTTTACTGAATTTCTTTACCACTATAAAATTTCAGGATCAAATAAGAGACAAGCTAACTCCCATTACAGTAGAGGTCACTGTTGACCTGCTGTACTCAGAACCGTACAGGAAAGTTCTGAAGCCAATTTTGAACAAAGCGTTGCCACAACAGTTAACGAGACAGGTGGGCTGGTCACTTTCTTTCATTGTAGTCACATTGTAACTGGATCTTTTCATTTTATTGTTCTCTAGTGCTGAAACATTTAGCTGTTCTAGTGGCTATTTCATTGGTTTAAAACGTATTTTCAATATCATTCTTGTTATCAGCATAGAGTTAATTTTTGTCATTGCTGTTAATAAACTCTTTCACACTGTTTTGTTTAATGGTTGAATTATTTCATGTGTTTGAATGCAGTAGATTGTTTTATTCAAGAATCAAGAATCCCAGTGATTTTCCGTATTTTATTAAACATGTCTAAGAACATAAACAAGACATAGAACATAAACCTGGCGAAGAATAAAAACAAATTATCAGAAAATTTGTCAAACTGCGCCGTATACCGTATATTTATTAAAATTTGAATATTATTCAGAAAGTTAAAAGCGTCACCCCAAAACACTTAAGAAATGTTAATTGAATATCGTGTACTTGTACCTTTCCAAGAGAAAATTAAGTCGTCTGATGTAGACTCTGAAACTATATATTAGCTCACAATTTATTTCGAAATAGATCTCAAACTCGATCTCGGAGTAGAACGCCAAATCCGGAACTACATGGCAAGTTTCTTGGACCATATGATGTGGCTTTATGAACTGTAAAAGTCTTATTATAACACGCTGTCTGTGTCACTTATTTCTTATCTGTGCTGTTATTCACGTACATAATATATGAATTATAGAGTGTTAGATATATTGATTGTTAGTTATTTGGTGATTTATTTTCTATCACCAGTGATATTTCCTTTCGTCACAGGTTAGCATACAGAAGAACTGTGGGAAGGATAACGTATGTATTCCTGATCTCAGTGTGGAATTATCATTGTAAGTATTTGCATTATTGAGTAAACGAAACTTACAAAGTTATTTAAAAAAAAAAAGTCCAGTATTTTGCACATTACTTCATCTCCATATATTTGTGGAGGGTCCGATTTATTCCGTTAAATAAAATTTAAATTTACACAGAAATTCTGTTAATGCTTTTTGTATTATTGCTCTTCAGCGCCCTCACGCGACATACAGTTAACACTAAGCCTCTAAATTTTCTTCAATCACCTTTAATACCTCTCCTTTTATAGCTGAATGTTCATTTTGATATTTATTTTTGATTTTTATGTCGGTTTTCGAAAACATTAAATAATGTAGTATTTTATTCTAAAATTATTGTTAGTCTTTATGTAAACAATGGCTGTTCAACTAGATATCAAAGCATTTGGGGTTTCCTTCGAACTCACTAGGAACATGGAAGAATACTTTATCGGGAGTAAAAAGAGGATAGAACTTAGTGTTAATGTTACCAATCGTGGAGAAGATGCATTTGAGACCATGTTGTACCTGGAGATACCACAAGAAGTTAACTACGTTAATATCAACAGAACAAACACGGTAAGTGTAGCTGAAGTCAGGAACAATTACTTGAGGAAGTAAAATTAAACGTGACAAAAATATTATATGGGAAGAAAAATGGATATTTCCCCTTCTCATTTAAAGGCTAAGATTACAATTTCAGTTAAGTTTGTTTGTAATTAAGCACAAAGTTACACAATTGGCTATCTGTGATCTGCCCACCATGGGTATCGAAACCCAAATTCTAGCGTTGTAAGTCCACTGACATACCGCTGTGCCACTGGGGGACTTCGGTTAAGTTAAATAAGTAAGTCTGAGAATTTTCATTTATTTGTTTTCAAGCGAACGTATTTTTTTTTTATTTGGGAAAGAAGAGAGCATTTAGCTTCAATTATATATTGTTTAACTTGTAAATTATCATATTTCAACACACGAAAAGTAATATATATTAAAACAAGAAATTAACAGTATTGATGCTGCCAACAATTTACCCTCTATTATACAGTAGATGTGCAGTTTGAGAGACTGAATCTTTTCCCTATCATTGAAATTGTGCAGTTGGTAAGAAATGAACATGAGGTTCAGAATACTCTTAAGTATACCACGTGCCATTCAATGAGACTTATTTCAGAGAATTCATCACCCATCAGTAACAGTGAACGTGTGTATGATCTGCAATTAGCCGCCAGGTAGCCAACATTAAGTTTGAGACAATATAATGTAAAAATTCGGAGTTTAATCCCTTTAGCGGGCAGAGCGTGACAGACCACTTTGAAGCTTTGCACTTAAAGAAAACAAAACCGCTTTGCAGTTTATGTGTCTGGGGTTTGTAATATTTTTTTACTCTTAGATATATTATTAAATATATATTAGATCTCAGTTGTCAATGCCAATTCTTTATTGGCAAATTTGACGTTTCTTTCGACAGAACGAGCCAATGAGCTGTAGTCCATTCTTTCGGACTTCAGGAAACAGCATTCTCATCTGTGATGTTGGTAACCCTTTCCCTGCAGGCAATGAAGTAAGTTGAACAGTTTAAGATAACTTAAATTCAATAGAACCGTCACTACAAAAGAGAAAACATAATAAATGTGTCAGTAAACACGGATTAAACATGATAATTGTGTCACTAAGAGTAGAAAAACATGGTAGGTGTAGTAAAAGTAAGTGATAAATAGGTGAGAATGACAGATGTGTTAATATAATAATGTGTTACGGTCTTTCCTTAAATTGCAGTATTTTCTTTATATTAAAGTGAATAGTTAGCTAATAATAATTCAATTGTGTTTGTATTTGAAGCTAAACATTCATTTAAATTTTATCAAATTTAATTTATGCACCTGCAATTCCGGTACTCACATCGTATTTCTCATTTCAGTTGATTTTTACCGTACTCCTGGAGCCAGCTCAAGTAGCTCCTAACATCCAAGAACTAAATTTTAACGCCACAGTTAACAGGTAAGATACGAATTAAGTATCAGTGTTTAACACAGCTCTTCTAGCAATCACTTCTAAAGGACAGGTGCACTAATATAACTCATTTTAAATCTTCATCTGCTTCTACTCATGTATAAACTAATAGAAGTCTTATAGTATTTATGTAGTTGTTGTGAGAGCGTTACTTATTAAGGGTGCTTATGGGTTATAGTAACAATACTATAGTACATATATTTTTGCTGTGGGAGCGTTACTTATTAAGGGCATTTATGCATAATAGTAACAATACTATCATAAGTACGGTAGTACTTATAGTAGGAAAGGGCCAGATGTGCAATATGTGCAATACAAGTTAAAACTTCAAACACACTGCAAACAGCATGTAAACAAAACTTTATAAGTACTTTACACACACTGTTGAGTAGTAAACAGACCAACTACAGAGTAACAAGCAACCAAAGCACTTGAGAAAGTCGGTAGAGTAAAAACAAAAATTTCACAAAACCACAAGTTTGTCTATCTGACTGACTAACGTTGTTGGAAAGCCATAACTCTCTCCTACCCTCACCTTATGCAAATCTAAATGCACATGATTGAATTATGCTACCTTGTCTAAAATCGTTTTTCTTAGTTTTACTTATAATCTTGGTAATAACAATAACCAAAATTACAAGTTATATTATTTAGTCAAAGGTAAAATATAAATGATAAACTGAATTTATTTTAAAACTAACAGAAGTCGAGCAAAACTTAAGTATTAAATAGTATTTTAGCTACTTAATAAATAATCATGGACAAAAAACATGTTCACATGAATACTTTCGTTTACCAACAATAAACCACAAACCGTACTGGGTAAAATCTAGATAATTAAAAGCTATTAGTTTAATAATTGAGAAAATATAAAATAACTTCATTTTAAAGCGTTTTGTTTTTAAAGTTTCGGTTATCCATTTCGAAAACTGTAAATAGTATTCGTCATTTATTGTACATCTAGCAGATCTGCTCAAGTCGCAATCGAATCCTTTCACCCGTGGGGACGTTACAATATTACTGTCAATCCCAGTTTTCGTTGGTATAAAAGAGTAGTCCAATAGTTGATAATGGGTGGTGTAGACTTCCTTCTTGTCTATTACTGTTAAACTAGGGGCGACTAGCGCAGATAGCCCTTGAGTAGCCTAGCGCAAAATTCAACAAAACAAAGAAACTCTGTATGGACTACAAAAACAGCTACAAGCTGCTAAAAACTCAAAGTAAAACTGAACGAATGCTAGACTAACATTTTAATAAACCAATTAATCTTTATATATATATATATATATAATCACTTTTTATGTTTTTAAAACAGCACTAATCCAGAGCCAAATTCTACCCTCACCGACAACTATGGTGTGATTAAACTTCCTGCAACCTTCAAGATAAAAATGATTGTACATGGGTAAGATTATGACTTATAATAAAAATCAAACTTGAGAATATAAATCTTTACACAACTGATCACGAAGTTGATTTCTTACAATTAAAGGTGGAAGATTTTACTAGTTGATTGTTTATCAAGTTAGCTCAATGTAAATTTATCAACAAATAGGAAGATAGCGATAGTGATTAATCTGCACACACAAAATAAAGCATTTTGATTGGAAGGTTAATTACAGCCTTAGGCTTGTGTAAATATACTTATAAGGCGTCAAGATTGTGATGGACATACAAAAGTATAGCGAATATCTTTCAGGGTATTTAGAAGCATGAAAATAATAAGGAATTTACCTGTAAAACGTTTTACTGGGGGACTGAAATCCTGTCTTATTTCACACACTCTTGTCCACTGTTTAAGTGTCTACCAATAAAACTTTAACATTTTAATTACTATAAAGAATTGTGAATTACATACCAATTTCCCACTAAAGCAACGAAAGCTACAAGAAACACATTTCTACTTGTGACATATGAATATTTGGTAGTTTTGATAGATGTTTGATGGTTTAGATGCTAATTAAATCCGTAAAAAACAAAAAAAATGTTTAATATTTGTTAGAAAACATCACAATAGCGTCAGAGGGAATTCTTAACTGATGCAGTATTTTAGAATAATATTATATGTTTTTGTTAAACTTACCTATTTGATATTGAAACATCTTATGCATGTTTCGCTCAGAATCTCTTTTCCTGAAAGCGTTACATACAACAAGTCAACCATTCTACCTGACGATCAGATAAAAACAGAATCTGATATTGGGCCAGAAGTACTCCATGTATATGAAGTAAGTCACGAGTTATTTTCTGAACTTTAGGTTTAGATGTGACACAGTATACAGATATGAGAATTGACAACAAAAAACATACTATAAAAATGTCAATACCAAAATGTTGATTTTTTTTTCATATCAGTTAAAACATCAAACAATTTTACTCTGGGATGCTGGAACTTAAAACGTAAAGGCTTATTTTTTTATTTTACAAATGGCCATATTTCATGTACGATTGGAACAAAATGAAACATTTTTTTCTTTTAAACGTCATGTTATTGTTCGTCATATTAACACCAAAGTGATTAGTATACACTTAGTACTCAAATAAATTCGATAAAGGTCATTTCCTAAATATGTTAAAACTACTTTATTTTACATCAGTAATAACTTACTGGTTACAACACACTGTAAATGCATTAGGTTTTCGTTTTTAGAACTAATATTTATGTATATAGTTGTCAAAAGTAAAGGATATTTTAGAAAATAATCTTCACTTCTTTATCACAAGGATAATTTTGATTTATCAGTGTATACTGTCATATAAAAGTAGTTAAAATAAATGAATTATTTCGCATGAATACATAATAGGCTATTTCTTTCTTAGAAGTAAATGAATAGATGTAAAGCTCTAACCTATATTTATCAAACACTAGCATTAAGAAAGCTTTCTGGTAGAACATCCATTACACAATACTTGTATGACACCATTGTTCAAGCCCCTTTTGTGGGTCAGTGGTAAGTCTAACGGGTTTACATCGCTAAAATATGGGGTTTGATTCTTTGTGGCTGACAGAGCGCACGTAGCCCATTATGTAATTTTGTGCTTAAAACAAATAAGCAAACCCACTGTTCAAACAACAGTTTCAAAGTAGTTTTAAGAAAAAATTTTGGTAGAATCTCCATTGCATTGTATTTTGCATTGTCCGATCTTTCCCTCCCCTGGAGAGACAGCATTAAGTCAACAGAGTTATAACTGTAAAATCCAGGGTTCAATCTGACTTTGCTCTAAATAAACAACAAACAAACAATATATCTTTCAAGTAATGGGTTCTAAATGAACTGATTACTTCCTGAAACAGTTTGGTGTATTTTTTGATGATTTGTCGAATCAATTTCTGATGATACAAGATGTTCAAAGACTTAGTCCATCTTTTACTTCGACTTAACTAAGTTACACTGCTATCAGGGAATACCAGGTTCCTTATCTTTACCACTAGTTTGAGTATTGCTTCACCTTCTTTGGAACTTAACAGTATACTAAGATATCCATTGGAAAAATACAAAATTAAACACAATATGACACGATATATAAACATGTATACAGAGTGTCCGAAAAGTCTGGAACCATAGGGAATTCGACAAATTTTACAGAATGTGTTCCACTTGCAGTCCTTGTAATTAGAAACAAGTTTGGATTAGCAGCGGATTAACTCGACCTTCTCATGCTTTGACAGCACCACAGTCCCGTATCTGAAATTAAGAAAAGCTGCAAATCACGTAAGGTTCCAGACATTTTGGACACCCTGGATTATATATCTATCTTGAAAATATGGTATATCGACAGAAAACAATGGGTGATACCTAGGCATTATCTTTGAAGAAATAATCAATTGGATTACTCAATATACAGCTAAAATTATCTTCATTTTCATTTCTTACTACAGATCATCAATAAAGGACCAAGCACTATCCAAGAAGCCAAAATTGACATTATTTGGCCTGCTTACACACTGTACAGGAAACATCTTCTTTATCTGTTGGATAATCCAAAGGTCAGAGGTAAAGCACGCTGCCAAGATGTACCTGACATCAACATACTCTCTTTACAGGTGAGTCCGAAAGAAACGTTAATACTTAAAGGCTATTTCAAAGACATTCAAAAATAAAATTGCTACAATATTATCTGTTTAATAAGTTACAAATGAACATACAGCTTTAAGAAAACAGCAAAATATATCACAATATACTAAATGTATGAATTTTTTCTCATAATCAATATTGTGACTTTGGGCAAAACACCATGCAAGTGAATACCCAATGTTTTATTTCTTATCCTTATTGTCACCCCCCCCCCACGTACCCTCCCCGGTGGGTCAACACTAAGTTTGAATGCTTATAATGCTAAAATCAGGCTTTGAGCTCCACAACAAGTAAATAACTTTATTTTTATTAATCCCCAATTATATTTTTCGAAATAATTTTAATCTTTCGATTATTGGCCATAACCCTTCTACTGAAATAAAGATACAAGTTTATCTATTATTTTGAAAACTTTAAAATTTTGGGTATCTAACCTAGTTTTAAGATATGTATCTTATCAAAAGTTTCCTCTAAAATTAATATAATTATTACATCTCTATCTTTTTTCAATCCTATTTTAATCTCGCCCTGAAATTTTTGAATACAGAATTTCCTACTTTTTCTTTAAAATTTTAATTTCGTATTAATTACCTTGTTTAAGGTTTTTTGTTCAAGAAATTTATATATAGGAAAATTTTGTAATAGTTATTTTCATTATTTGGAGAGTTTACATTTTTGTTAAGTACATAATATTTTTAAATATTTATAAACTTATATATAAACAAATAGATTTCTCTGATTGTTCTTTTTTGTTTGGTATTAAGGTAGACATATTTTCAGTAACTTTCCTTTTATATTTCATAATATTTTAAGCCATTAATCTTAGTATTTATTATTTATATTTTACAAATATCAAGTGATAGCATTGAGCTGGTATGTAAGATGACCTATTTCAATATTCTATTTTCATTCACTATTACTGTTCAGTACTACATAACAGTTTTCAGAAAATAAACAGTCCAGTAAATAAATTCCCGATCTTCTGTTAGATGGCAGTATAGCCTCATGAAAGGAAAATTTTAGCTTTGTTTCACCGTCCAAAATGTTGCATTTATATATTCTTTCCTAAGGTTATAAAGGTGAATAGATATTCGATATTGTCCACTTGTACAGCATTCATATAATCATCATTAAAACTCCATTTCGTCACTTCCAAGCTAGTCCTGTTAGTGTCTCTTATCTTTATAGCGACAAGTATCTCCAGCCACCATGGCAACCAAAGTCCTGCTATAATTTTATCTTTATAGCCACAAATATCTCCAGCTACCATGGCAACCAAAGTCCTGCTAGTGTTTTATCTAGTGTCTGGGGATGCCCTTATCTATATGGTGTAGCCCTCTACCAAAAGGTTACTAAGGGGGCTAACATGTCCCCGGAAGGGCACCCAGACATATTGGGGGTCTAAGAGTAGTATTTCAGGGTTGCTGAATCTGCATCTGACATCAGATTTAATTTTTCTGGTCCCTCTCTGGATTCAGATGGTGACATGTTTCAAACTGTTCTCATATCCCCATTCACAAGCTAGCAGGTCGAAAGTTGACACTCGTGCTACAGATCCACAACAAAAGTGATTGGAGATAATGGAGATGATTGATCAGTGCATTAAGCCTGTGAATTCCACAGTGGAGTTCGTGTATTTAAAGCTAGTATACCTTAATGAGGAAAATATATCTATTTCATTAATTAAGGCTTACAACTTAAGAGTTTTCGCTTGTGCGAATTGCACTTACGACTTTTAATCTAAATGATGTTTCATTATTTTATTTAGTTACTATTCTCAGTGGTCTTCGTGAATTTTGTATAAATGTATAGAAGTATCCATTTTTCTATTTCTTTTTTCACATTATTTGACATTTAGCTACCTCTACTTTTAAATACTACAATTGCACAGTTAATGAGTGGTCATCATTTTAAAATTTAGATATTTCATTAATTGTTACAAATTCTTGTTTGTATTGATTCACAGGTTTGCCAACTTCCACGGGCATGGCAATCCTGAACAGAGAAATTCGCGTGAGGAAGAAGTAAAGTATCAATGTCAAACAATAATGCCACTTTTGGACCAATTTTATAAGAAGTAAAACAATAAAAGAGTTGAATTTTGAAGTTCATCATTTAACCACGTCTTTGTTTGTTTGGACGCAAACCTTTAGCAATAGTTTTTTTTTTTCTGTTTGGTAGTTAGTACGCTTGACCATCAATCTATGGGTCGCGCGTTCGAATTCTTGTCGCCGAACACGCTCGCTCCTTTTAGCTGTAATTCGGGCGAAGCTGTCCCTAAATTATACAACTACTCATAAGTTAAAAGTGGATTGGCTGTCAATGTTAATATCTCCTCATCTGAAAGCACAAAATGTGTTCAGTGACACATTACCACTCCCAATCCATAGTCTAGCAGTTAACCATGAAGCCAATTCAAAATTACTTATTAATTGTTGGATGACGAGGAACCCACTTTGAGACTAATAATGGCTGGAGACGGCTTGAA